CCTTTAAGGTTGAACTGTCGCCTTCAATTGAGTACATGTTTCGTATGTTTGTTTGAACAAGAAGGCGAACATAATTGCGCTGAAGTGTCTAAATGTAACACAGGAGTATATATTTATGGATATTAACAAACATCGATGCTGCTCTGATCTCAAATTGACTGGGATTTGTGAACGAGCTACCTCGCTTGCAGTATGGGAAACGTTAACTGGGACTGAAGCACGGCGTAATGACTGGAACATAACATTGGCAGTTCTACATCACTTTAGTGGTTCACTGCTGTAGTGTAAATCAGTGTAATATTCCCAGAAATTGGTCACGGAACCCAGAAACTAATTAAAATTGACTACCTTCATGCGGGACTGCATAGCTGCTTTACCACATCTCAACCGCAGGGGCTTAAAATCCCATATGTCACTTTGTATAACCAAGCGTATTTGTACCTGTGTATGTATTTATTAGGGGGGGGGGCGCCCCTGCTCTCTTCGATCGCCAACAACGCCGGCAGGAGAGGGGATCCCCTCCTTCCTCACCCTTTCTTTCCGTTCCCTTATTTTAGGGATTTAAGGACGACGCTTTGGAAATGAACATCAGTTATTAAAACTCGTTTTCAAGCTAAAAATGCTGAGACTCTACAATATCTACGCCTTCCACATGGTACACCGGTTAATGTAGTCTCAGTTTATCTTGCGTTTTGTCCGTGCTTTGTTCATGTAGAGTAGGATTTGGGGTCCTCACGTCCGTGATGACCGTCTTCTTACTTGTAGTACCGTGTAGTTTCATCGCGTTGATGATGGAAACAGCAGGGACCTCTCGGTTAAATTTTATCAAACTACACGGCGCTACGACTCAGAAGACAGTCATTTTTTTGTTCACGTTAGCCACACGTGTAGCCGTGTTCTGAGTTATCTTCGTATTTGCTGTTCGTCGCCATTTTTCGACCGTATTAATAACTAACACAGTCACTTTCACCGTAAGTCTCACGCGGAATAATTCCGTGTGAGGAAAGCAATTCCGTAAATCATGAATGCGTTGAGCACTATACAAAACGTCGGGTTCTGACAAGAAATCTTGAAAAATGGGCAGCCACTGGCAGAGGAAAGAGAAAAAAAATACGGAGCATTAACTCCAGTCAGTGCGAGTCACACCGCACTGAAGTAATGGTCACTACGCTAATTCCATCCGTGCAGTTTCTAATGAGATTCCCTGCATTTATGGAACCCATTAGCTTTGTGTCGTATTAACAGCAGGCACTGTCGTCCTCATTCTGCCCCAGTTTCACTGAGCACCACAGCCAGAAAGTCTTTCGTGAAAATCCTTTTCAATATAGCCTATTTAATATTTTCTTGTAATCGGCGATGAAGCTTCCTGAGTTGTTTTAACGACAGACGAAAGGATCATTGTCTTTTAACGTGTGAACTTCATGTGCGTCCGCCTCACACTTATTAATTTTTCATATTGGGAATGTTCTCGTAAGGGAACAAATTGTGCGTCATATAATTTTCGTCTTGTCTCTGTTTTGTCATTTCCATTAGACGCCAACATTCTCCTGAACCCCTTATTCTCAGTTACTTACTCTCAAATTGTGTTCTCTCTGGGAGCGACACACCGACTTTGACGCTGATATTGGACTAAAACAAAAAAATACGCAAAACTAATTTCGTTATATGTTTATTTTTCTGAAGAGTCTTCAAGTGTTGGGATTAAAATTATGAACCCTCCGAAACTGTTATTTATAAAATTACAATAAAAGCTGTCCATATTTGTTTTCTGGCTTGTAACACCGTGTGGACTTGCAGGTAGGTAACAAAGATTTTTCAGGAACATACTGCCTCCATTTTATATTATCTACCTACAATACTACACTGTTGAGATTTTTCAGGAACATACTGCCTCTATTTTCTATTATCTACCTACAATACTACACTGTTTTATAACCCAGAAGACTACCGTACTTGTTTGCACTGCCACGAGAACTAGAAATTAATAAAGTATATAAAATCAGGTAATTATTTTTCTACTACAACTACAACCACCACGAATAACAGAAATGAAAATGGATTTCATTGTCTGTTTCATCAGCATGGTTGCTGACTAAAGGACTGAGGTCGCGTGCCCCTACGACCCATCACAGTGACGTCAATATGCTACGTGTGCTGGCTTCTGGAAGCTTCTCAGCCAGACTGCAGACACCGAGGGACCGTGAGCTATGGACACTGCAGGCAGAAAGATCTTGACTGTCGGCGATTGTTCTGGAAATGAATGTAGTGTCTCGCCATCTTCCCGTACTCTCTTCCATGCGCTCTTAAATTCGGTTGAGTGTCAATTCCGAGTGTGTTGTGCAGTGAAGTATCCGTCTCATACGAAGCCAGTGAACAGGAGACAAACGCCGTGAGCTATACGACTACGGGCTCTCTGAGACGAGGAGGACTGATAGAGAACAGTTATTTAATGTTTTATTATTTAAGTTGTTTCATGTGCAGTAAACAGCAAACCATTATCAATTGTCAGAGGTGAAATAAATACATCTGTTGTTATGAAGAATCCACGTGGAATCAGTGAAAATTGTTACAATATAAACAGTCGTATGTATGCAAATCAGTATTTCCTTCCGTCCGTCAGGCCTTGTTTCTTGAAAATAGGGCGTCGTAGATAAATATGTTCATCCTCGACACAAAATATCGGGGTGAGGATCATTTTTATTTGGAAAATTAGGCAGAGATGCGGTAGAAACTGACACATCTGGGGCAGTAGAATGATGACAGAACAAAAAGATTTTCCTGTAGTAGACAGCCTCGGAAAGGTTTTATCCCCGGCTCCTCAAACATGTAATTGTTTTCGACTCTCTGCCGATGTCTTTTGTAAGCCTTATGGTCCCCGTTACTATATGCTCTCAGTGCTGGGGCGTCCATGATAGAGGAGGCATACCGGTGTTCATTTACGTAGCTTCCAGCTTGAGTTCATCGTACACGAGGACTTTCTTGTAACCCGGTAATTGATTTTCTGATTAATTGGATTCTGTGATAATGGACACGTGAACTCTGCACGTTATCTCGTGAACATGGATCATTATATAACCAAAACAAACGTAGCAGTAATATAAAAGGATAGGAAATCGCATAAAATATAATAAGTTACATTAAACATTATTTAATACGTAAGAAAGCAACGCTCTTCGTAACTACAGAATATATGCTAATGATGTGATGATGACAAAATATATGTCGAAACATGTAGCTGTGAGACATTGTTTTATCTTTAAATATTGTGTAGAGAGGAAATGATTTTACAACGGAATAAAATCTCTTACTTTTTTAAGGTTTTCTAATCAACACCTGGAGATACTTTACAGTGCCTGGTTGAAAAATACTATATTTTATTTGGCTGTTAATTTCAACAGGTATTTGATAGTATTTTACAATTACGAGAAGCACTACAAATCGGATTGCATTAGCATACATTGAATATTACTCTTAGATTATGAAATTAACACCTCTTCATATGATGACAAGAGAAAACATTCGAGCGGCTAAATTTTAAGCAGCAAGAAAGTAGGTTTGGATTCTTCTTGGAATTCTTTCTCACGACTGGAAGGGTTGAAAATTGTGCCTGAGGCGAATTTAACCTAACCAAAATACAAGTCTGATTTACTGTTTATAATATAAGGATTTTATTGGCTGTAATGAGCTCATAATTGTAGAAAACTGAAACTCGATAAACGAGTTACGTTTCATGAAATCTGTACTGAGCTGCAATTCCCTTGATACGCCATTAAAAAAAAATCAGACAAACGAAAAAAATGTATACTCAACAAATAGTTATTTAAGTGACAAAGGAAATTTCCATTACACTCCAATCGCTATCGTGTTCTGGGATTCGTATTGGCGGTCTCAAATTCCACAGGTTGAACACGACCCGCTCGAAAAAAATAAATCAAACCTTGACACAGTCGTTCTGTACCTGTACGGTGATGCTGCGTCTCAAATTCAAATACCGCTCCACACATTCAACAAAACGTCACATCGTGCGATCATATCATCGAGCTTTTGTTAAGATCTGTTCTGAAGTTTTCTTTTGTTACTCCTTCATATTGAACATCTTGTTAGCAAATAACATCGCTTTTAAGTAATTATGCTTTTCAGAATGTAAACAACAGTCCTTCTGTTCCAATATATATCTTCTGCTACTTTTTTTACACGTCTCAAGGAAGATTTGCAAGAATGCGACTTTTGGGATAGCCATGTGTGTCTTACCACCTGATCTCATGTTACAAGTCGAGAATCGCTGAACGGATTTTCATGGATTTTTGTGTTGGAGAGGTTTACTAGCATGTTCAAAATTCTAATACCGTATTAGGCCTACAGAGGTTTAGATACACGAAGAAAAGTATATCGGTTTTTGATGTGAAAAGAAAATAGTGTGTATGAGGCCGAATAAACATGAATAAGGTTGCTTGACTTGTATTTACGAAAGTTGTTCAAACAGTCCGCCTCCTACTTCGACGAATTCACACCTCGAACGATTGATTCACGTACATTTTGAGATACTCCATCGTTGATCGTACCCACACCAGCTTGTAGACGGGCTGTGGTTATATTGGGAGCACTAGATAAATATTTTGGATCAAATACCACCTCAAAACAAAATGGATTTGGTTCAGATCTGGGAACAGCGGGTGTCAGTGTATCGGTCGTCATCGGTCGATTCATTGGTTTTGAAATCTTTCACGAATGAAATTTCTAACCCGACGCCATCGTGCGTAGTTCCAGTAGTCGTCCAAATGTGTTCTCTGGTGGCCCCGAGGGACATCCTCCACCTTTTAACTATTGTCTGTGTTTCGCCAATGAATCCGTACGTCGCTATGGCGTGGCGTTTTGGCAAAAGATTCAGGACTTCAATGCCAACGCATTCTGTGACCAGTCTGGGAGGAGGCTACATCTTCGCCGGTATGTATGCTCTAATGCCAATGCACGCGTACTAATGCCTGGCTGGTCTGGCCACAACATTCTTTGCGCCGTTACACCCATGCCCACTATCAACAAGCAGCTTCTCAACGCGTGTGACGAGCGCGTCAATTCTTCCTATTTCCAAATCTTAAAACGCTTGTAGTAATTGCATTAACGACATTGTGATAAAGTGATCGAACAGTACCCAAGTAAACTTGTGTCTCAAAAATAGAATTTTGCAGAAGGCATCTGAAAATATCGTTTACTTTTCACAGTCCTTTGTCGAAAATATTCCAATGTCGTTGTTCAGTCTTGTCGGTCTTGGATAAACGTACATGTACGAGGGTCGCTCATTAAGTAATGCCCCACATTTTTTTTCTCAGCCAATAATGAAGATAGAAAAGTGTACTTTTACATGCTTGAGATTTGATGTTTCCCGCGTTCGTGTACGGAGTTTCAAATGATTCCAACCGATAGCGGAGCTGTAGTGAACTGTTAAAATGGCGTCTGTGAACGACTCTCGGTACAAGCAACGAGCTGTAATTGAATTCCTTGTTGCTGAAAAAGAAACGGTGGTGAACATTCATAAACGTTGGTGTGCTGTGTATGGAAGCTGTGCAGTCGATAGGAGCACCGTTGGTCGCGGGGCTAAGAGAGTTAAAGCTTCAGGAAGTGAAGAAACCGAGCTCCTGTGCGCAAGATGGGTTCCACGAAGTCTCACAGCAGACCACAGGATTCAAAGGAAAACGATTTCTTCTGAATTGTTGGAGCGTTTTGATGCTGAGGGAGAGGTCTTTCTGTCCCGGATCATTACAGGTGACGAAACCTGGATACACCACTTTGAGCCAGAGACAAAAAGGCAGTCAATGGAGTGGCATCATCCTCAATCACCGAGAAAGAAGAAATTCAAGACAACTCCCTCCGCCGGAAAAGTCATGATGACTGTCTTTTGGGACAGTGATGGGGTCATTCTTGTGGATGTGATGCCAAGAGGTGCGACCATCAATTCAGACGCGTACATCAGGACCCTGAAAACCCTCAAGAAGCGTTTTCGACGAGTTCGGCCTCACAAGCATCCAGCAGAAATTTTGCTCCTGCACGACAATGCACGCCCTCACACAAGTCTGAGAACCCGGGAAGAAATCACCAAATTGGGTTGGACGGTGCTACCCCATCCACCCTACAGTCCAGATCTGGCACCCTCCGACTTCCATCTCTTTGGGCCCCTTAAAGATGCTATCCGCGGAACAAGATTTGAAGATGACGAGAGCGTGATTCAAGCAGTGAGGACATGGCTACGGGGACAGGACAAGAGCTGGTACCGGCAAGGCATGCATGCCCTTGTTCCACGCTGGCGTAAAACCGTACAAGTTGATGGGGACTATGTGGAAAAATAGTATGTGTAAAGGAAACATTGATTTATATTGTCACTAAATTTGAGCCATCTTGAATAAATATGTTCTGAGGAAAAAAATGTGGGGCATTACTTAATGAGCGACCCTCGTATAATGCAAAGTTAGATAACAGCATAAGGAGAGAAGGCAATTCTGTTACCTGTAAATACCCGAGGCCCCAACAGGCTCCAGGCCCTGGGCTATCGCTCATTCCTCTTTCCGCCAATCTTACGGTTAGAGTAATAGCAAAATCCTGCCCTTACAGAACTTCAAAGCTCAGATGACAATGCTTCTATAATGTCATGGCGTGTTTCTCACAAAAATTTCAATCTATGCCATTACGCCAGTCATAGATCCATTAGTTCTCAATGACGGCCGAAAGTACTGTATTTTGTTACCCAATTTCATGTTTTAGTTTTCGTGTTTTTTATCTGAATTCGAAAATTCACCGTTAAAGTTAGTTTAGTAAAATAAACATGAGACGAAAACTGTGTCGGGGGGGGTGGGGGGTTTACACGAGTAGCCCGCTTGTACTAAAGGCAGAGGCGTCAAAAACTTTTCGCCATAGGATGTTTCGATCTTATTTTAGTAAAGGAAAAATCCTGTAAAATCTTCCGCATGATAACTGTGTATCGGCGGAAGAATTTTTGAACACAAGTTATAGCCCAGTGTACGTTTGTTACGGGTTTTTTTAACCAAATCTGTTCACGAATTGAAAATCTCATCTAGTACGATTAGCTAATAATTGTATTTTATTTGTATTTCACTAACTAGTTAATATTTTGTACTCGAGTAAAAAATCATGTGTATGCAAACAACAGTACCTTGTGTGCCATGATATGTCTGACTGGATGTTAGTATGGTTGAGAGATGATCTCTGACAGACCCTGCACTACACGTTCATTAGCCTGTACTTGTCTACGCCGCCAGCGAATTCTGTACATTACGTTGAGTCCATCCAGTGTCGGGTGATGGAGAATATTGCGTCCCGTATACTGCTGACATTTCTCCTGGGGGCCTCTTGTCTTGTACAGTCACCCCCTCCCCATTTCAAATTTTGTACATATACAAAACCGAGCACATTACGTGTTAATGAATAATAACGGAAATTTTGGGTTACTAAACCATCCAGATACTACTAGACCATCTAGATACGTTTTGTTTCGTGCTCGAATTTCACGTATCCGAAAAAAAAACCAGTGTTGTTAAACGAACACAACCTTATGTATAAATCAATACATCTCAGTAAATATACTTATTTCCTGCTTATATACTACGCAGGGAATTCTGCCAAATCAGGTCCTCGGGTCTGATATTTACAGACTATTTCTTCCGGTCCGTCTCTGTAAAGAACGGTTACAGCAGAGAACGGGTGAGGCAGAGACCGAGACCGGCAGAGAACGGGAGAAGTAGACATCATGTGAGACAGAGACGGTGTGTAGAAGACAGAATGATGCAGAGACCGTGTCTAACAGAGACTGGATGAGCAGATGGCCGGTGAGACGGAGAGCGAGACTTTCTATGATCGGGTCTGGCAGTTATCCATAATGTAAAGGATCAGTTTAAATTTTCAAATATTTTAAGAAATCCAAAAATGCTGGAAATTGTCTAGAAAGCGCACAAAATCAAAATTTTTGAAATATTTGAAAAATTTTAATGTGAAATTTTTCAAAAATTTTGTTTTGTGCGCTTTTTGGACAATTTCCAGCATATTTTCATTTTTCCGAACTTTTCATACTTTTCAAAATTTCTTCCAAAATTCTCCCCACCTGATGCCTTGCAGAACCGGTTTCTGTCGGACTGTTTCTGATCTACTGTCTCTCTGAGAAACGCGGTCTTTGCATCACACGGCCTTCGACGTGTAGTCTCTGAAAAGCCCAGGTGCTGCAAACACCGAGGCAGTCAGCAATCGGGTGAGACAAAGGACGAGTCCGGCAGAGACAGTGTGAGGCATTCACCGAGGCTGCCATGCATC